TACCAGAGAGATCAGGACCTGGACACACTACATGGAACCAGGTTCATTGTCATGATGCTCCAAGGAAAAGTCAGTTCCTCCAGTGAGGAGCTCTTGACAGAAGATGCCGGAATCTGACCTAATTCCCAGTTCATAGGGCATTCCCGGGAATGGAAGGGTATCCCGAGTGGCACCACAAAAATGCCATCTGCCAAATCCAGGATATGAAACACTGTACAGCCCTGGCCAGTGTGGCTCAGTTGGTTGGAGCATCGTCCCATACACCAAAAGGTTGCGGGTTCGATCCCCGGTCAGAGTGTGTGTGGGAGGCAACCAATCGATGTTTCTCACTCACATAGTTGTTTCTTTCACCCTCTCCCTCATCTCTCTCTAACATAAAATAAATTAAAAAAAAAAAGAAAAGGGAAAATTGTACAGGGTAAAGGATGCAGTTTCTTCAGGAAACAAGTGGCACACAAGTGGTTAGGGAATGGTTGACGATTTAAAAGACCTAAGACGGTTTAACAAAGGCACTGTATGGACAGGCTTTGGGTCCTTGTTTGAACAAATCCAGTTACAAATTACATTTCTGAGACTGTCAGGAACTGTGAACACTGACCGCAGAACAGCTCATTATGATAGGACTGAAATTAGGTATTGTGGTTGTAACTTTTTTTTTTTTATCCTCACCCGAGGACATTTTTTAATTTTTTTGTTCAGATAGAGTGGGAGGGAGAGAGAGGAAGGGGGAGAGAGAGAGAAACATCGACGTGAAAGGGACACATGCCTCCCGCACGACCCAACCAGGGCCGGGGACAAACTGCAACCGAGGTACGTGCCCTTAGCGGAAACCGAACCCGGGTCTCTCCGGACCGCAGGCCGCCGCTCTAATCGCTGAGCCAAACCAGCCAGGGCGTGGTTGTAACTTTTGAAAACAAATTTAAAAGGGGAGCTACTGTTTTATTTATTTATTATTCCCCACCTGAGGATATTTTTCTACTTATTATAGAGTGGGAGGGAGGGAGAGAGAGAGACCGAGAGAAACATTGATGTGATAGAGCCACATCAACTGGTTGCCTCCCGCACGACCCAACCAGGGCCGAGGACAAACCGCAATTGAGGTACATGCCCTTGACTGGAATCGAACCTGAGACTCATTGGTCCATGGGCCGACACTCTAACCGCTGAGCCAAAGCGGCCAGGGCAGGAGTTAATTTTATAAAGTTGAGCCAGGCCGGTGGGGCTCAGTAGATTGAGTGTCATCTCACGGACTGAGAGGTCCCAGTTCGATTCCGTCAGGGCACATGCCCGGTGTTGTGGACTTGATCCCCAGTAGGGGGCATGCAGGAGGCAGCCGATTGATTTTTCTCACATCAATTTCTCTCTCTCTCTCTCTAAAACCCTAATAAAAACATATTAAAAATAACGTTGAGTGTTGTGGATAATGAAATTTTGTGGTATAGTTACACTGTGCATGCAATGCCACTGAATTGTACACTTATGGTTAAAATGATAAATATTGTTATGCATATTTCACCACATACACACAGACACACACACAAACTGAAGACTACACTGATTCTAAGTACTTTTATTTTAGGGTCCAATATTTATTGTTTAAGCCATTCTGAATTTATATTTTCTTTTGCTTGTGAATGAAATCATCCTAACACATGTCACCTTTCACGTGGAGGCCGTGGGAGGTCCGAACTTCCTTAAAGGAATAAGTTTTCTGGTATTTCCAATCCCACACTTCCTTAATGTGAATTTTGACTGCAGAGGAAAGCCAAGTTATTGCCTTAATTTAACGAACTACAGAAATGATCCCTGAAAGTACAGTCTTGTCATTGCCTTAATTTAAAAGGAGAAAACCTCCTCCTGGCTGGATTGGCTCAGTGGTTATAGCGTCGGCCCACGGACCAGAGTCATGGATTCGATTCCAGTGAAGGGCACGTGCCTCGGTTGCAGTTCATCTCCAGCCCTGGTCGGGGTCGTGCGGGAGGCAACCATTCGGTGTGTGTCTTTCATGTTGGTGTTTCTCTTGCACGTGCACGCTCTCTCTCCCCCTCCCTCCCAGTCTATCTGAAAATAAATGGACAAATATCCTCGGGTGAGGATTTAAAAAATAAATCAAAATAAAAGGAGAAAACCTTAAACATCATGCATTCCTTTTCACATCACACTATTGACGTAAGAGATGTCCAGACCTGTAGAGAATTTTTATGAGTGTGTTTGAGCCAAACTGATGACTTGCTTTCTTTTGCACTCAATTGCCGGGAATCAAAATCTCAACAGATTGAGAAAATGCTCCAAAGAACGGCTGTCTTGCAGCTTATTTTATACCTTAGAATCAGAGGAGGAGATGTAGGGCAGGCTGCATGAAATCTATTGGTGGCAGATTTAGGGGGTGGGAGAAAGCAAAGGGGGAGGTAGGAGGCGGGGGTGAGGCAGGGAGGAATCTCTAGGGTTTGATGAAAAACAAACTGGAGACAAGTCTTTTACAGAGCAGTAAACATTCACTGCGCATAGAGATGGTATGCGGGAGGACACAATAACAAGGGCTCCTGTGCTCTCTGCCTGGTGCCTTCGTGTGCCCTGAGGGGTCTGGAAAAGGAGATCACTCTGACATTTCCAAAGTATATTATCTTAGATGCAAAAAGACAGGCTCACTTAAGGTAAACATTGACCTTTGTCAGGGAAGCTACAGGCCCAGGACAGGACTACGGGCCATGACCTGCTTTCTGTTAGGAATTTTCACGTTCAGACCGTCCTATGTGGTTACTTTCCGTCTGAGTATGTAAGGTCGCTGTGCAGGCCAACTCTGAACTTGGCGGGTTTAGTATGTGGCCCCTTTCTTGCCCACGACACTGACATATTAAAAAACGGTAATAACCCTGGCCGGTTTGGCTCAGCGGTAGAGTGTTGGCCCAAGGACCAAGGAGTCGTGGGTTCGATTCTAGCCAACAGCATGTACCTCGGTTGTGGTTCATCCCCAGCCCTGTTCGGGGTCTGGGAGAGACAACCAGCCCATGTGTCCCTCTCACGTCAGCGTCTCTTTTTCTCTCCCTCTCTCTCGCTCCCACTCTATCTGAAGATAAATAGAAAAATATCCTTGGGTGAGGATTAAACAACAAAACTGTAATAGTAAATCCAAGAATTTAGCTTGTATTTCGTTCCTATGACATCCCGGAACTTTTCACATTTCTTCTTGGAAATATAGTGTTTTAGATGCTATATCCTTGGTCAAGCTGTGATCAGATCCCAATCTCACCTTTCAGCTCTCTTAGATCGCTGTTCCGGGCTACCTCTGCAGAGTGTAAGCCAAAAAATAAGTGATAACATCACGGAAAACGAAAACAAACAATTTTCAGCCCTGGCTGGGTAGCTCGGTTGGTTAGTGCGTCTAACCGATACACCAAGACTGCGGGTTTGATCTCCGGTCAGGGCACAGACAAGAATCAACCGACGAATGTGTCAATAAGCGGAGCAACAAATCAATGTCCCTTTCTCTCGCTCTAAAATCAATGAAAGAAACTTGAACGGTACATGCATCGCTGAAGCATCCAGGGGCAGATAAACTGACACCTGCAGGTTACTTTGAAACTCCTAGAAAAGTGAGCTGGTTGGACAGGGGGATAGAAATGTGCAAATTGAATCCAGTTCCCTCAACTTTGTGGCACGTTTGGAATTTTGAACATTGTTAGAGAACTGGCAGAAAAGTGGATGAAATAAAAATAGCAGGAAGATGCCCTGGCTGGTCTTGCTCAGTGGTTAGAGCATCATTCTGTGGACCGAAGGATCGCAGGTTCGATTCTCAGTCAAGGGCACATACCTGGGTTGCAGGTTCAATCACCAGCCCTGGTCTGGGTCTTTTTTTTAAATCCTCACTCAAGTACACCTTTCCATTTTTTGTTCAGGTAGAGTGGGAGGGAGAGAGAGGGAGGGAGAGGGAGAGAGAGGGGGGGAGAGAGAGAGAGAGAGAGAAACATCGACGTGAAAGGGACACATTGAGTGGCCGCCACCCACACGACCAACCAGGGCCAGGGACAAACTGCAACCGAGTTACGGGCTCCTAGCAGGAACCGAACCCGGGTCTCTCTGGACCGCAGGTCGACACTCTAACCGCTGAGCCAAACCGGCCAGGGTTCTGGTCTGGGTCTTGCGAGAGGCAACCAATCAATCGATGCACCTCTCTCACATTGATGTTTCTCTCTCTCTTCCCCCCATCACTCTCTTCTACTCTATCTTAAAAAAAAAAAATCAATGGAAAAATATCCTCAGATGCGTATTAACAACAACAAAAATAAATAAATAGCAAGGGGATGGTTATCCAACGAGGCTGGTGATTGTACAAGTCTACTTTTGCGTTTGAAAACTTCCTTCCTTAAGTAAAAAGATGCTTCTGGTTTCTTTTCTTAGAGAAGGCAGGAGGGAAGGGTGAGAAAGACGAGGAAGTAGGGTTAGGGTTTGTTTCAGCATCTGCTTTCAGATTGGCCGAGTTCCCAGAGCTTGGATGGGTCCCTGTCAGGCTTTCCCTGGCCGCGGGCCCCCTCGGCCAGCTGTTGTGCAGTTACCTTCTCCCTGCCCCCCCACCCCCCTCAGCCTCACCGGAAGTGAGCCCGGGACAGGCCCCTCCTCCCCACATCTGGTATTGATGTCAACAGCCAGGGTGGGCGGGGGCCGTGTTTTTCAGCTCCCGCCCAGCCTCCAGGGAGGGGTGGACCCCCCATCCCCACCCCGTACTCACAATGTCGGACACTGTCACACACACACTAGGCTCTGCCTTGGGGGTGGACCACAGGCCAGAAACAAACTTTTATTGCAAAACAGGGACCTTTGAGTCACGAGGCCAGTGGACCTGGTCCCTTCCCTGACACAGGGCGTTGGAATCTGGCCCCTACTTGGTCGCCTAGCCCCTTCCCCTGAGTCTAACGGAGACTTTGAGTAGGGACAGTGGGTCAGTGTGTGGGTTGAGGGGCAGGAGAGGCTTTCAACATGGTTATAGAAGCTGGAGTGTGGGGGAGTCCTCTGGTTGGGGGGTCCTCGAGCATTCTAATTTACTTGGTTACTGGGCCTGTGTGCACACCTGCTCAATGGGGGGGGTATATCTGTATTTGGGAGACTTTGGGGATTGGCGTGCTTGGCAAGGGGTGTCCTTGAAGGCTGACGGTGTGGAGGAGGCTGGGCTGTGACTCTGTCTCAGTGGAAACATATCTGGGAGTCAGAACGTGGTCATGTGGGCTGGCTGTGTTGCTCAGTGGTTGGGGGCGTGTGGCTGGTGCCAGTCATGTGCCTGGAGAGAGGGCTGAGGACAGTCTCTCTGCGAAGTGACACGACCCAGAGAGCTGCATGCTCTCTGCACCATGCTCCCGGAGACGGTGCTCCTGTTAAGTTGGATGAGTGAAGAGGGCGTGTGGGCCACGGATGCAGTGGCTGGTTCCGTGGCAGCTGAACTCCTGCACGTGGTTGGGAACCCAGGGGAGTTACGTTGTATGCAAGTTGGTGGGTTATCTGGGCATGAGGTTGTGATTCCAAACTAAGTTGATGTCTATAAAAAGCTTGTGTGGCTGAGTTGGTCGGTGGTTGTGTATGGGTATGTGGTTTCGTGTCTCAACAGCTGTGTGCGCCAGTGAGTGTGGCCTGTGGACGAGTATCTATGTGACTGACTCTCAGGTCGAGGCTGCCACCTCCCAATGCCCCCGCCTTCGTCTGGTCCACACGGGGGCGGGGGGAGATCAGCGGGGCCGAAGTCGCAGCTGGAAGGTTGGGGGGATGTTGAAAAGGCCACTGACAGCTGGGCGGAGGCCCAGGGCACCCGGCGGGCACGGGCTCTCCAGGGAGAAGGCCTGCAGGATGGTGGTGACGAGGAGAAACAGCTCAGCTCGAGCCAGGCCCTCGCCGAGGCAGACGCGCTTACCTGGAGGGAAGAGAAGATGAGGCTGGGCCAGCCCTCCTCACTCCCCAGCCAGTGGGTGAGCCGGGACAGCAGATACCTAAGGAAAAGGGCAGGAATGCCTCTTGCTTCTTGAACCTTCCGTCTGCGTCCAGGAACCGGTCGGGGTTGAACTCCTCTGGCTGCTCGAAGACCTCAGGGTCATGCAGGACAGAGCCCAGGAGGGGGAAGACCTCAGTGCCCTGAGGGGACAGAAGAATGGAACTGCACATATCCTTCATGCCCAGGTTCCTACAGCAGAGCATAAGGATCTACAGTGTCACGGACACCAGTTCACAAAACGAAATAGAATCAACATGTAACAAGCTTATTACGGGCACGCAGATTATTATTAGGCATTTTATGTATGTTACCTCATATGTAATAGTACATGTCTTTCACTTACACTCACACAAACACATAACCCCACTAAATATTTCAACAAGCCTAGGAAACAGTTACTAATATGATCCCCATTTAAAAAAAAATTTTTTATCCTCACCTGAGGACATTTTTGCATTTATCTTCAACAGAGTGGGAGGAAGAGAGAGAGGGGAAGAGAGAGAGAGAGAGAGAAACATCAATGTGAGAGAGATACATCGACTGGTTGCCACCCACACGACCGCAACCGGGGCTGGGGACAAACTGCAACCGAAGTACGTGCCCTTAACAGGAACCGAACCCAGTCTCTGGTTCGCAGTCCAGCGCTCTAACCGCTGAGCCAGGGCATGACCCCATTTTAAAGATGGGAAAACTGAGGCTCAAGGAACTTAAGCCACTTGCCCAAGGCAACAGTTGACATAGCAGAGCTTGTTATTTTCACATTTCATTTGTAAACTTTGAAGGTATGCTGTGACTCAGCTGTGGCTCTCCTCAGCCACCTGGTGGCCCAGAGTCCAGCTTTTTGCCGCTCAGGTCTTCGGGAGGTGAAGGCAAGGGTGGGTGGGTGAGGGCTGCCCACGAAGGCTCCCCCTGCCCTCGTTCAGGGAGAGTGGCAGCTTCTTCAGCTGAGATCAGTTGCCGTGTTCCCAGGACAGGTGAAGGGTGAAGGCAGATGGGGAGTGGGGAGACAGAGAGGGGGACCTCCATTGCTAGGGACTCTGGCTGCCGGGCTCTGAGCTGGGAGGTGAGGAGACAGGGTCATGTTATTATCGTCAAAGTAAGAGAAAGGCAGATTGCAGCGGTTAAAGCATAGGCTTAGGGTGATATCTTGCCCCGACCACTTGCAGGCTGGGTGAGCCCGGCAAGTCTTCTATGGGCCTCAGTTTTCTCATCTGTAAAATGCGCATGTTAGTGGTGTAGGATTGCTCTGAAGATTAAATGCCTGGCACAGAAGTCTTTAATCACTGGTACCTGTTATCACTGTTGTCACCATCAGTAGTGGTTGTCACTGCATTAACAGTAGTCCCTGCTCTGCTGTCTCATACATAGGACCCCCACCCCTGGGGCTGAGAGCTGAGTTGGTGTTTTTAAAAAAATACTTTTTCTTTATTGATTTTAGAGACAGAGGAAGGGAGAGGGAGAGAGAGAGAAACATTGATGAGAGAACATTGACTGATTGCCTCCTGCATGCCCCCCAGTGGGGATTTGGCCCACAACCTGGGCATGTGCCCTGACCGGGAATTGAACCAGTGACCTCTTGGTGCATGGGTTGACGCTGAACCACTGAGCCACACCAGCTGGGCAGGTGTTTTTTTTAGATAGGGTGGAAGGGAGGGAGGGTTGGGAGGGAGAGCAAGACATCAATGTGATGGAGACACAACCCTGACCAGGGCCAGGATCAAACCTGCAACCCAAGTATGTGCCCTTGACATGTGCCTCGGCAATCAAACCCGGGACTCTTTGGTCTGAAGGTCAACCTCTAACTGCTGAGCCGAATTAGTGTTTTACAAGCATTGCCTTGTAGATTCCTTACAATCTTGGTAAATACTATTATTTTTCCCAGTTTGGCAGATAGATAGAGGCTCAGAGCGGGAAGTAATCTGCCCAAGCTCCCTGCTAAAAGGCTGGACTTGAACTGCCAGGGGTTTAATTCTACTACAATGAAGCTCAAGGAGGGAGCAGCTTGTGTGAAGGTGCCTCAGGTTTCTGGGAAGACATCGCCTCCTGGTGGTGCTAGCTACAAGTTGCTCTCCAGTGAAGGGGCAGGAACTGAGGGGGGGGGGCAGAGAAATGGGTGTGTAAGGAGGGGGAGGGAGGACAGAGACTGTGTGTTTGCAGGCAGGGGCTGAGAGTGAGGGTCTCTGTTAGACTTCAGTTGTCAGACTGTTTTCCTGCCTGTCACTTCATCTGATGGTCCCAATCACCTTGAAACAAAGTAGAATTAGGATATCCATTGCCATGTGAAGAAACTGAGGTCCAGAGTCAGAGTCAAAGGGTAAGAGAAATGCATCTAGAAAAGGAGAGAGAGCCTGGCCGGTGTGACTCAGTGGTTGAGCGTCATCCCATGGACCAGGAGGTCACCGGTTTGATTCCCACTCAGGGCACATGCCTGGGTTGTGGGCTCGAACCCTCATAGGGGACATGCAGGAAGCAGCTGATTGATATTTCTTTCTCGTCGATGTTTCTATCTCTCCCTCTCTCTTTCTCTCTCTAAAAAAATTTTAAAAAATTATTTTTAAAAAGGAGAGAGAGATGCAGAAAAATAGAGGGAGATGAGAGAAGGAGGAAGATGCAGAAAGAGAGCTATGAAGATCCAGAAAGAGTCAGAGACACAGATAGCAACAGACTCAGGCCCAAGGCAGAGACCACAGACCCACCTGGGGCAGGGTGTACCCTCGGAAGCAGGTGGTCCTCGTGAGAGCGCGGGGTATCCCCATTGGCACCAGCGCCAGCAGCCGCTGCGCCTCATGCAGAACAGCGTCCGTGTAAGGGAGGCGAACTCGGTCCCCCAGGCTGGGCGCCCGGCCAGGCCCCAGCTCCCTCTTCAGCTCCTCCTGTACGCGCTCTGTCCCCAAGAAGAGGAGGACCAGAGGTCAGATGGGGAGGGGCTCTCCTTAGAAGCCCCGTCTTGAGCAATTGTGGTTAGGGGTGAGGCTGGTGGGCGGGAGGAAGAGGTCCCCCAGCCCTCACTGAGCCCATGTCCCACATGTCCAGCGTGCTGGGCATTACATCTCTCCTCGCTTAACTCCCTCAGCAATCCTGTGTGCTAGGTACCAGCATCTGTCCCCACTTACCTAACGAGTAAACCAAGGCCCAGAGAGCTGAAGTCGCAGCTGAGTCCATGCCACCAAGGCCGCCAGCCCCCAAGTCCCATCTCCCAGGTGAGCCCACCCCACTGGCTTGAAAGCTTTTACCTGCCTGATGTGAGATGCCAAAGCTCCTTGGGGCTTATGACCAGCCCTGCACCCTCTGTCTCCAGCCCAGCTTCAGTTCCTGGCTGTGCTCTCAAGATCCCAATTTGTTTCATCTCCTCGATGCCTCCTCACAGGGGCCCCAGGCCCCTCACACTCAAAGTGTCCCAAACTGGCCTCAGTGTCTCCCTTGAAACAGCCTGTCATTCTTTCTGTCCCCGTCTTGGCATAGCCCCCCCAGCCCCCCAGGTCCCTGGCCGGAGCCTTGAGCCTGTCGCTGGATGCCTCCCTCCCTCATCATTTCCCACCACCTGCCTCCTTGGCCCCTTCTTCTCTCCCTACAGCTTGGCCCCGCTGTCCTCTCCCTCCCAGGTCCCTACCCAGTCTTCTGTCCTTGGGCTCCTGGCATCCTCTGTCACCCCTTACAATCTACCACTCATGGCAGCCCAAATAATTTTTCTAAAATGCTAATTTGACTCCACCTTCCCTTGCTCAACAACCTTCCATGGCTCCCCATTGCTCAGGATTAGGTGACAAGGCCCCAAGATAACTCCTGCCTCATTTCTCAATATGCCTCATGTGGCAACCAGACACCGCTCCTCAGACACCCCCGATGCCAGGCTCATGGTCACCTCCAGGCTCTGGTTCAGGCTGTCCACTTCCCTGGACATTCTTCCTCTCTAGCCCTCGCTTCTGTTCCCAGGGCCTGGCTGGTGGAAAAGGCCCCTACCTTGGACCTGTGGGTATTTCAGCAGGAGCAGGAGGGTGTAGCGGACCGTGGCGCTGACCGTCACCGTCCCAGCGAACAGCAGGTAAATGACCGTCATCAGCAAGTTCTTGTCAGTGAATTCTGTGACTGGATCATGTTCCTCCTGGGAGAAATCGGGCGGAGGGGCTCAGAGAACACAGCCTGCAGGAGGCAGAGGCCCAGCCCAGCCAGGCCTGGGGTGTAGCCCGGCAAGTTCGAGCTTCATCAGGGAGTTTAAATAAATGTTTGGGAAAGTCAGGAAGTGAGCTCTTGATATTATTCTCTCTGGTTGAAATGTTTTTAAAAATGAAAGAGAGTGGCCACCATAAGCAAACAAACAAACAGAAAGTGACAGGTGCTGGTGAGGATGTGGGAAAACTGGAACCACATCACCAGTGGTGGGAATGGACAATGGTGTGGCAGTTACTCAAAAACATTAAAATAGAATGGCCATATGACCCAGCGAGTCCACTTCTGGGCTTATCTCCAAATGACTGAAAGCAGGGTCTCAGAGAGACATCTGTACATTCATATTCATAGGGGCGTTAGCAACAGTAGCTAAAAAGTGGAAGTAACCCACGTGCCCATCCATGGATGAATGGATACATGAAATGTGGTCTATCCCTACAATGGAATATGATTCAGCCTTAAAAAGAAAAGAAATCCCATCACATACTACAACCTCAGTGAACCTCAAGGACATTCCGCTGAATGCTGAATGAAATAAACAAGTTAAAAAGGACTAATACCGCCCGGCAGGTGTGGCTCAGTGGTTGAGCAACGACCCCTGCACCAGGAGGTCGCTGGTTTGATTCCCAGTCAGGACACATGCCCAGGTTGTGGGCCTGATCCCAAGGGGGGAGGGGAGCATGCAGGAGGCGGCCAATCAATATTTCTCTCTCATCTATGTTTCTATCTCTCTCTCCCTCTCCCTTCCTCTCTCTAAAATCAATAAAGAAAAAAAAAAAAGAGAGAGTGTAGCATTTCAGCTTTGCCGGTTGAAGAGTACTAAGATTGGTTGCATAACCATGTAAACACACTTAACACTATTGAACTGTACACTAAAAAATGGTTAAGATGCTAAAGTTTATGTTATGTGTAGTTACTACAATTATTATTGTTTAATATATAAAAGAGTTGGTGTGGCTCAGTGGATTGAGTGCTGTCCCATGGACTGAGAGGTCCCAGTTAGATTCTGGGTCCGGGCACATGCCTGGATTTCGGGTTTGATCCCCAGTAGGGGGCGTGCAGGAGGCAGCCGATAGATGTTTTTCTCTCACATCAATGTTTCTATCTCTCTCTCCTTCTCCTTTCCTCTCTCTAAAAAATCAATATAAATAAATAAGAAAAGAAATGCGGCCACACAGATAAGAAAAAATTCTCTCTCCATGAACCAGGTAGCCCTGATTATCTCCCATAATTCCAGAGTCTGTACAATCCAAAACTAGTTATTTCCACTGGAGTCACCTTAATTCTCCTCTTCTCATATCATAGTAAATAGCTCTTATATAATTAATATAGCAGACTGTATTAGTATGATTTGCTATTGCAAGGTTTCATAAGGAAATGACTCAGTCACGAGAAATGTCCTGTGTGAGTGGGGCTGTGTGTGTGGGGGGGTGACGCGATGGTGGCATTGCTCGTGGCAGGTCACTGGGCAGGGGGCTGAGGTTGGAGGCAGGAGAGATGTAAGAGAGACTCAGACATGCATGAAGTGGGGGTCAGGAGAGGTGGAGACAACAATGTACCAGAAAGACAAGATATGCACACACATGCATAGACACAAATTCATATATATATGGAGAGAGGGAGGGAGAGAGAGAGAAAAGAGAGAGAGAGAGAGGAATGGCCTGACAGAGTCCCAGCCACACCTGGGTGGGAGGCAGCCAGGCCACCAGCCCCACTCAGGAGCCCCTCCAAACCCCAACCTTCTCCCACCTTCGCCATCTTCAGCAGGAAGGCATCCACAACACTGCGTGCAGGGCCTGAGGTGTCCAGACTCCCCTGGCGCCGCTGCACCTGCTCAATGGCGAAGGTGGCCAGGGTGTTCACGTGGCCGAGGAGCTGGGTGCGGGCGCCCGGAAGGGGCTGCAGGAGCCAGGAGAACATCTCGTAGGTCTGTAGGGAGAAGGGCGGCTGCTCTCATGGGGGCCTGGCCCTGCACCAGGGTCGAGGTGCAGGTAGATGGGGTGCCCTGGAAGAGGTAGGCGGGAGCCTTTGGAGAAAGTGGCTGGAGAGAGGGGTCTCACTCACTTACCTGGCCCCATGGGGAGCTGATCCCCAGCAGGATGCCCCCAGCAGCCCGGACCACAGCCTGGAACTCCTCATCCTCGTAGGGGAAACGGAGGCCCACAGTGAGGGAGCAGACGACATTGGAGGTGGCCTGAGCCAGCAGCAGGGAGGGGTCAAATGGCTGTCCTGGTGGAGAGGAGGCGAGGAGGAGCTCTGTGATGGACTCAGAGAGGACCCACTCCATGGCAGCCACCACCAAGAGAAAGGCAGAGACAGACAGAACGGGACAGAGAAACAGACAAGGGAAGAGAGAAAGAGACAGATAGGGAGGCAGACACACAGACAAGGAGAAAGAGAAACACACTTACAGGAGAGAAAAACAGAAGTGGAGAGAGAAAGAAAGGCAGAATGTGATGTGGCAACACCAGGGACAAAGACCCGCAGAGAGTCAGTGAACAGAGCCCCCGGGCCAGGCATCGTGGGTGGGTCCTCCCCACACTCACACGGGATCCAGGGACCCTGGGCTGTCCCTGCCCTGCTGACCTTCTGTTGCCTGGAAGGCCTCCACCAGACACCGGGCCTCCGCCTGGATCAGCTCCTCGCCTTCTCGCTTGCCCATGCCCAGGTCCCGCAGCGTGAGCGTGGTGAACTTCCTCAGCTGCCTCCACCGCTCCCCATTGGAGAAGAAAACCCCTGCGCAGAGGGCTGCACTCAGGGAGGGACTCACTCTCCCCCTTTCCTAGGACTCCCCCCTCCTTCCAGTGAGGACCCTCGAGGGGGCCCTGTCCTGAGTCCACATCTGCCTAGTCTGGGGATGAGGATCAGTAGGTGATTAATAAATACCTAACCTTGGGTCAGTGGGTGGCTTCTCCTGAGAAGTTGGTAACTAGGATTATTCAGGCTCCTCGTGTTCTGTGATTAATCAGGGTAAGTAAAGGTTCCTTCCTTTCATCCATCTTTTTATTCTTTTCGTCCACCCATACTTTTTTCCTTCCTTCCTTCCTTCCTTCCTTCCTTCCTTCCTTCCTTCCTTCCTTCCTTCCTTCCTTCCTTCCTTCCATGCTAACATTATGGAGCACTGTCTGGTCCTAACTATCCATCTCCATCCATCCATCCATCCATCCATCCATCCATCCTTCCCAACATTTATGGAGCACTATCTGGTCCAAACTATCCTTCCTTCCTTCCTTCCTTCCTTCCTTCCTTCCTTCCTTCCTTCCTTCCTTCCTAACATTATGGAGCACTGTCTGGTCCCATCCATCCATCCATCCATCCATCCATCCTTCCTGATGTTTATGGAGCACTATCTGGTCCAAACTATCCTTCCTTCCTTCCTTCCTTCCTTCCTTCCTTCCTTCCTTCCTTCCTTCCTTCCTTCCTTCCTTCCATGCTAACATTATGGAGCACTGTCTGGTCCTATCCATCCATCCATCCATCCTTCCTTATGTTTATGGAGCACTATCTGGTCCCTTGCCCCACGTTGTCTGGAGGTTGAACAGGGAGGGGAGGGGATGGAATTGCACTGTTTTCCTCCTTTATCCAAGAGACCTGCTCTGGACAGACCTTTTCCGCTCTGAGCTCAGTGTTCCCACTTGTAGAATTCTGGCCCGTAGTGTCCTCCTGGATGTCTCCTCCTTGGTGTCCCCTGCTCACCCCACCATTGTGTCCCAAACTGGCCTCAGCATTTCTCCTCCTCCCTGTTCTCAGCCCACCATCCCCTGCCCCCTGTTCGGAGCCTTGGATTCCTCTCCCAACCGCCCCCCCATTCCAACCCCAAGGCCCCAGCCCTCATCCAGCCTAGTCCCCTGCCTGGGCTCCCACACAGCAACTGGGGGATTCTTCTACAAAGAACCCAAAGCCCCGCCCTGGCCGGTTTGGCTCAGCGGTTAGAGTGTCAGAGAGAGACCCGGGTTCGGTTCCCGCTAAGGGCATGTACCTCGGTTGCAGTTTGTCCCTGGCCCAGGTTGGGTCGTGCGGGTGGCAACCACTCGATGTGTCCCTTTCACGTCGATGTTTCTCTCTCTCTCTCTATCTGAACAAAAAATGGAAAAATGTCCTCGGGTGAGGATTAAAAAAAAAAAAAGGAACCCAAAGCCCCAACGCTCTGATGTGACTCAGGCCTGCATGGTCAGGTGCTGCCACTTTGGCATTACAGTATTCCTCATCCCACTAGTCACCCCGCCTTCTCTCACTTCCTCAAAGATGTCAGGATCCCCCCCTCTAGGCCTGTTCCCCTACCATTCTCTCTGCCTAGACCACTCAGCTCTGCATCCACCCTATGGATGAGCTAACTCCATTCATCCTTCATGTCTCAACTCACATGCCACCTCCTCTGAGAGGCCCTCTCAGATTTCTCCCATTCCCCCAGCCCATCCTCAGGCCTGTACAGGTCCCGTGTCCTGCTCTCAAGGCTGCACCTCTCATCGTAGGATTCTGCTCTCTCCCTGCGTCGTCCTATTGCAAGCCCACCTCACCCACAGTAAGACAGGACACCACATCTATCTCAGTTATCTCTGTGTCCCCAGGACCCAGTGCGGGACCAGGCATAATGCAAACTTGTCAGCTGAATGAGTGAATGCTTCTCACCTTCATGCCTTTGTACTTGCTGGTCTCAGTCTGGAACACCTCTCCCACTCCTTCTGTGAGTCTTGGCTCAGATACCTCACCTTTCAGGAGGACTTCCTGGACTTCCCCCAGCAAACAGGCTGGATCAAGGACCTCCTCCTAATCCTAGAGTCCCAGGCCTGCCCCATCCTGGCCCTGACCCCTCTGTCAGTCCCTCCCTCATTGCTGACCTCTCCAGACTGTCGATGTCTGGCGACAGGTCTGTCTCCCCACTGGCCGAGGCACTGTGAGGGAACCAGGCGGTTTAGTCACTGCTGTGCGGGACTCTGGCTTTCAGTCTCGGCGGGGAATAGTTTCCACATTTTGTGTTTGCACATCCGTTCATGTCCAGTGCCTTGAAAGCTCACCCCTTCCTCCCAGCCCTGCAAGGCCCAATCCTCATTCGGTCCTCACTACAACCCTATGTACAGGCATTATCATTTCATTTTATGGATGAGGAAACAGAAGCCAGGCAACACTAAGCCCCGCATGAGAGTCACATACCAGTAAGGGGAAGCAGGCTCTGAGTGAGGGAGCCGCAGCCTCCACTCCTAACTCACCATGGCCGTCAAAGGTGGGGTCCAGCGTTGCCAGCGTCCCCCGCCCACTGAACTCCTCAGCCTGACCTCCCAGGGCCTCCTGCACAGCCTTGTGGCCAACCAGGACCACCACGCGCCGCCAGGGTCCCAGGTGCACGGTGAACACTGGTCCGAACTTCTTACTCAGCTGGGGGCAGGGAGGGAGAAGGGGCGATGCCTGTCTCCGTCATGGGCCCTGCCACTGGATGAGCCACCTGCTAGAAACCATCCACCAGGTCCCCAAACTCCTTCCCCAACACTGGCCTCCTGCAGAGCCCTAACTTCTGATCTAGGGACAACCCAGAACTCACCCCTACCCTCCCAACTCAGGCACGTGGCAGCAAAAATGGGCAGCTGCAGCTTTGGTCTCCCACAGTTCTCCAACTCTCCCCACCCCCAAACTGGCCACTCTTTTCACTGCTAAATCCTAAAATTCTGAAGCACATACAGCTGAGCATGCCATCCTTCCTCAAGATCTCCCCCCCACACACACCCCCACACATACACCCCGTGTTTTGGAAGTCCTCCAGACTCCTGTTGAATGAAATTAAGAACCTCTGGCGTCTTCCACTCCCCGCTCCAAAGGTTGGGACTGCCTCACCTTCCCTCCCTCGAGTGTCCCCGGAGCTCCCAGCTCCACCCACCTACCGCCCCTACACCGAAATTCTAGCAGACAGGTTCCGGGAACCTCCCGCCTCTGCCTCCACTTCCCCCAGGGGCTCCTCGGGGCGGCTCGCCCGGACCTCCTGGGCTACTCCTCCCGCGGGGACAGGCCCACCCCCATCACACCGCCAGCTTCCCTCCGGCTCGTCCCCCCGCGGCCCCCACCACTGCCCGGGGTTCTGGGGGCTCCTGTGCCCCGGGACCCCTGCCCTTGGTCCTGCTTCCCTGCTTCACCCCGACTCCAGGATCCCATGGGCAAGTCTCTGCCCCTTCCAGCCCGGCCCCTCATCCTTTCCCCAGGCACCCCAGTCCTGGCCCCCTGCTCCCGCCCCACCCGACACCACAGCCCCTTTGCCCTGGGACCCGTGTTTGCCTCCCCCGAGCATACCGAGGGCCTCTCTGCCCTGATGCCCCGTTTCTCTCCCCAAAGTCCCCTCCCTCTCCTGGACCTGGCCCCCCGCCCCGAGCCGCGCGTCCCCGCCGCTCCTCACCCTCCGGAGCCCCAAGTACAGCGCCCCAGGCCGGAGCTGCAGGAGGTTCCCCAGCAGCGGCAGCGGCGCGGGCCCGGGGGGCAGGTGGCCTCGGGTGCGGGGCCCGGGCAGCGTCAGCAGCAGCCCCAGGAGCAGCAGCAGCACCAGCAGCAGCGCCCAGGTGCCGGCCGCCTCCATCTGCGCAGGTTGGCGCCGCGGCTCGCAGGCGCTCCAGGCGGGCCCGTCCGGGTAGCGCCCGCCCGCAGGGACCAGGTGCAGGGAGGCCGGGCGTGCCCCTCCCCCGCCTGCCGGCCACCTGCTCTCCCCGCCGCCGGATTTCCCTCCCAGCCCACCGCCGCTGTTTGGGGTCGGGGACACGCGAAAGGTTTTCTCCGCGGTCGCTCAGTTTCGAGGGGCGGAGACAGCGCCCTGGGCCCCGAGTGGGGCGTGGGCAAACTGGAGGAACCTGGAAGCTGGAGACTTGGCAGCCTCCCGAAGGCCACGCCCGAACCCGGCGGTGATCCCCAACCCCGCCGCGCTCCCCAGCTCCCACCTCCCTCCTCACTGCAACCGGGGTACGCGGCGTTCGCCCATGCGTGCCTGGGGGGTGTCTTTGAACCAATTTCCTCCAGCACTTGACATCTTCACCACGTACTAGGAAGAGGCACTTGACCTTTAACAATAAAGAATCTGAGTGAGGTTCAGTGAAGTCAATCGGTTGACCCCAGGCCACACAGCTAGCAAGCGACAGAGCTGGGATTTGAACTCGGGCAGGTCTGAATGATTGGTTGAATCATTCATTTTACCAGTATGTATAGTGGTTAGGACCATCATGTCTGAAGTCAGACTACCAGAATTCACAGCCTAGCCTCTCTGTGCCTCTGTTAACGCATGAAATAGGGATAGTTGTCAAGATTAAACAGGTGTACGTGTGTACACGATTTAAAACAGGGCCAGGTGCATATAGAACAAATGTTAAAGGGTATGTTAGCTGCCCTGGCTGGTTTGGCTCAGTGGTTGGAGCGTCGGCCTGCGGACCAGAGAGTCCAGGGTTCGGTTCCCGCTAGGGGCACGTACTCCCCTCCCCCAAATATATATATTAGCTAATATTCTTTCAACTAATTGTTACTGAGATTTAACTACAAGCAAGACTTTGCTCTAGACCTGGGAATGCAGCTATGAGTAACAGAGGGATGGGCCCTGCCCCATCCCTAAACTCGAATCCACATGCAAACAAAGTAATAAGATAATTTCAGGTAGGTAGTGTGAAGGCCAGGGGGATGGGCTTGTCGAAGGAGACGGTTACAATGTCCATGCTGCTTGGTTCAAAGCTGTATCCCTAGGGTCCAGAGCAGTGCCTGGCACACAGGAGGTGCTCAATAAATATTTGATGCATCAAAGATGGAATGTAGATGAGGTCAGCAGGAACTTGGCAGAACCCAGGAAAAGACTTTGCATTTTCTTTCTTGCAAAAGGAAGCAGATGAAGGATTTCCAGCAGGGCAGTTACTTGGTTTGCTTTGAATTTTCTTTCTTTTCTTTTTTATTTAATTTTTTAAATTGTTGACACTATTGCAGATGTTCCCCAACCCCCCTCCTTTGCCCACCTCCATCCAGCCCCTCTCTGCTCCCTTGGCCCTCCTCACACTATTGTTTAAGATTTTATTATGAGCCCTAACCAGTTTGCCTCAGAGGTTAGAGCGTTGACTTTTAAACCAAAGGGTCTCAGGTTCTATTCCTGGTCAAGGGGTTGCAGGTTTGAGGCAACCAATCAATGTCTGTCTGTCTCTCTCTGTCTCTCTGTCTCTCTCTCTCCCCCTCCCACTCTATCTAAAAAGTCAATGGAAAAATATCTTTGGGTGAGGATTAACAACAAAAAAAGAAGATTTCATTATGAAAACTTTCAAACATACAGTAGACACCTGTATATCTGCCACCTAGATTCCACCATTTTACTATCTGTCAGTGTAAGAAACATTAACATCTATAGAGAATTTTTGTGAGTTTATTTGAGCCAGTGTTGACAATTGTTGGGAAGCAAAATCTCAATACATTGAGATAATGCTTCAGAGAACGTCAGTTTTGTGTCTTATTTTATATATTACAATAAAAAGAGAAGCCACAAGTGGGTTACACAAAATCCACTGGTGATAGATTAGGGAGGTGGGAGTAAGCAAAGGGGGAAACCTCTGGGACTGGATGAAAAGTAAAATGATAGACATGTTTTACATAGGTGGGTACAGGATCCTTAACAGTCAACAATTAATATGATAACAATAACAATGAGAGGGTGTGTGGTTTCCACCCTGGTGCACTGGTTGTGCTCTGAGGGGTCTGGAAAAAGGGGAGTTATCCCGACAATCCAAAGAAATGTTATCGGATGCAAAAGACAACAGACAGGCTCAGTTAGGTATGGATGGACTTTTGTCAGGGAAGATTCTAGCCTAGGACATGACTATCTGCCATAAATTGCTTTTAGTTAAAAAGCTTTGTCATAATGCGTCAGTGAGATAACCAGAGACACACAGCCAAATTGTAAAGGAGCGCTTTATTCTTGCCGGTGGGCTGCGGGAGGCATGGTCTCCTCTCAGATCAGCAGCACCAGATTCTTCTTGCTCATCTGATTTTTTTTTTTTTTTTATCCTCACCCGAGGACATTTTTCCATTTTTTGTACAGATAGAGTGGGAGGGAGAGAGAGAGAGAAACATCGACATGAAGGGACACATCGAGTGGCTGCCACCCGCACGACCAACCAGGGCCGGGGACAAACTGCAACCGAAGTACGTGCCCTTAGCGGGAACCGAACCCGGGTCTCTCCGGACCGCAGGCCGACGCTTTAACCACTGAGCCAGACTGGCCAGGGCTGCTCATCTGATTTTTTTTTTATTTATTTTTATTTTTATTTTTTTTAATCCTCACCTGAGGACATTTTTCTATTTTTTGTTCAGGTAGAGTGGGAGGGAGAGAGAGGAACAGAGAGAGAGAGAGAGAAACATCGATGTGAAAGGAACACATCGAGTGGCTGCCACCCGCACGACCGACCAGGGCTGGGGACAAACTGCAACCGAGGTACGCGCCCCTAGCGGGAACCGAACCCGGGTCTCTCCGGACCGCAGGCCGACGCTCTAACCGCTGAGCCAAACTGGCCAGGGCTGCTCATCTGATTTTAAAGACAGAAGCCCCATCCCCCTTTTGCTTCCCCCACCCCAGAGGGACTGGTATAATAATGGGTGTGACAGTGATTACAGAAGACAAAATTAGCATTATTCACCTGGCTAACAAGTACCTGCAAATACTCAGAAACTGCAAATGCCTCCCACCACATGGGGCAACTATAATCTTAGGCAACATTCCTTTACTTCTAGGGGTAATTAACCTATTATTGGGAAAATATCAAGGAAGGTCCATTGATGATAAAAATGGAATCTAGTTGCCTTAGCCTCCGGGCCCAGGTCAGCTTTACTTTCAGACCATCCTTTGTGGTTACTTCAGGTCTCTGAGTTTGCAAGGCCGCCATGCAGGCCTTCCCTGAGCTTGTCATGTTAGCATGTGGCCCCTTTTTGTCCACACATTCCCCTTTTGGTTATAAATTAATTCAAAGAATGCATTGGACCAGCCTTTTGGTTGGATGACAAGGTCCCACAGTGCTAGTGATATCGTTACAATAATCTGATTATTATTTAACAGGAAAGGAGAAAAGGGGAGACTAGATAATATAGGCATGCCATTTATGCAGCTTTGCCAGAAAGCTGGTTTAACACACCTCAGGTCTATTCTCCATAGATTGACGAAGAAAGGGACTAGACAAAGACACATGCTCAGTAAGGTTGGAGTGACATGGGAAGGTGCTTACCTGTCTGTCACTCCTGGGAACAGGTGGTTAGCCACTGCATGTGTGAGAAACCTGAATATTTAATCTGCTAGACAGAGGAAAGCTCTCTTCCTTTCTTGACCTTTGACCCTCTGGCCCTCTTGGGACTCCTGTTGCAGGGGGAGCATTCCCCTGCATTTGCCATGTGGCCCACAGCCATGTGGATCCCATACAATAGACTAATGGACTGAATCTAGCCTGATGCCACATCAGACCCAACTTCACCATGGAGTGGAAATTCTGGCCACTGGCCCTACTTCTAGCTCTGCTGAATCCACAGCTGCATGTCTTTTAGAACTGGATTAAGGGACATGAGACTTTACAACCCCAGGAATATAACTCCACGCCAATAAAAAACTATTCATTCTCCTGTGCTAGTCTTAGAAAATTCCTTTTTTGAAGATATCACAAGAGCCATCCAACTCCCATGAGTTGGCCCAACAGTTTCTCCAGCAACACTATGAAGGTTTATTTCTAGGAAGTCTCACTGTTAGCATTTGTCTTGCTGAACAATGGACCACTAGGGATGGGGCAAGACTGTAACCTTGCATGGAAGTCAAGGCTGAATTTTTTTTTTTTCTCAAAAGTGAAAGGTAGGTAAATGGGAGGCAGTCAGGTCTTATAGGTCTTTATTAAGAAAAACACTCTGGCCTGGCTGGCGTGGCTCAGTGGATTCTAGGCCCAGGCCCCGGTTAGGCACGTTCGGGAAGTAAACAAGCAGTGTGTCTCTCTCACATTGATGTTTCTCTCCCCCCCCCCCCCATCTCCTTCCCACCTTCCTTCCCTTCCTTCCACTCTCTAAGAAGCAATAGAAAAAATATCCTCTGGTGAGGATTAACTACAACAACAAAGCAAAATTATATTTGACACATTTCTTGAGGGGTTGGATGTGCTTTTTCCCCAATTAGTTCTTAGATTTGTGAATAAACAGGATTCATTATACTAACAGAATTTTGCTCAGTATAAATGATGCTACAACAAACATTTAAAATACATGTCTCTTGATATATTTTTATGCATTTCTACTAAGTATATACCCAGGAGAAAACAGTGGGCCACTGGGTGTAAATTTCTTTCAACTATTACTGTAGTTACTACCAACTTTCAAAATGGATTATTTTTGCCCTGGCCGGTTTGGCTCAGCGGTTAGAGCATCGGCCTGCGGTCCGGAGAGACCCGGGTTCGGTTCCCGCTAAGGGCATGTGCCTCGGTTGCGGTTTGTTCCCGGCCCTGGTTGGTTGTGCGGGTGGCGACCACTCGATGTGTCCCCTTCACATCGATGTTTCTCTCTCTCTCTCTTCCTCTCTCTCCCTCCCACTCTATCTGA